AGAGGGACGTAGCTTTCCTTCTTGGTGCTCCAATTCAAATGTATACAAATGGGCATGGCTAAAGATTCTTTCAGTTTGCAGAGGGAAAGCGTATCAGGCTAGTGACAGATGCTTTACGTCACATGACTTGATGGGTATTATGGTATATGAAATCTCATATAACTTTGCAATTCTGATCTGAATGTCCTGGCTTCTGTGCTTGGGAGTCAGAGTTGAAGCTCCAACCCTGTCCTCTACTCCTCTTAGTGCCTTTCAATGTTGAATCACATATGGTGTATGGAATCACCTGCCGTTTGGAGGCCCCCACAGAGTATGTACTGAGCAGTTTTCCTTTTTTAATGTGTAGTACAGCTCCTAGTTTTCAAGAATAACTAATTGGGAGCATAAACCTCACTTTGTCCTTGAATGGTTTGCAATTTAGGAGCCCTGAATAACGGAAATGGAGGGCCTACAAAGAGGGCATCGAAGCGTGCTGCAGTTTGATAATTTGCCCGCTTGGCTTGGGTAAGCTGCTGGTGTGGAATTGCCCTGGGAAGAAACAGCAGACCCTCTCAGGTCGGTAGCTTGTCTCTGATGTTGGTTTGGGGGAATTTAGAGAGTTGGGGAACTCCGATGACCCCTTGGGGCCTCTATCCTGCCATGCGTGTTTTCACAAGAGCAGAGTGTGGGCCACTGGGTTAGTTTGGATTTGCTTGAGTGCCAGCATATGGATAATACACTTAGATTGGAGCGGAGCACTGAAGTTGCACCAGGCCACACTCATGTCTAGAAACCATTATTCCTGGGAGTCCAGTCTAGAAGCTATGGCTGAGGAGAGAAATACTTTGAACTATGGGATCCAAAAAGCCCATTGGTCCCTATCTGACACCCAAGCATATTTACTTCCTGCTTGGCCATGTAGCCAACCAGAAGGGCGCAATATGGTGATGTCAAGTTCCACCTGTGTGTCAAATGGAAAAGACGGCAGCTCTGCAGCCCCACTCGTTCTGTTGAGATGGTTGCAGTTTGACTTGCCAAGTCAAATTCCTTGTACTCTGTACAAGTCAGAATGCCCAACCTTATCACTGGTAACTGACTCTAAAGAGGGGCTCAGAACAGGAGAGCACAGGTTTTCTCTTTATCAGATGCCTTTAAAGCCGCTTCGCAGCACATCCCTGTGATTGCTAACACCATTATGAAGATTGACAGTTTCATCAAGAAAGCAAAGAAGAAAATCTGCAGACAATAAATGGAGGCAGTGCTGGGCCCTGCTCCGGTTACCCTCAATAGCACTTCCAGAGCACTGAGCTGGGGCTGGGGTCCTTTCCGCCCTTCAAGGACCTGTGGCTTTTTTTTATTGAGCACAGAGCTTGAGAACTTTTGTGGCCCTTTTCCTAGTACAAATTAGTGAGGAGAAGTCTGAAGACTGTAGATAGAGACTTGGTTGTGGTGGTGAGGATTGGTTTTTCCTTGCCTGAAAAGGATGGCCTGAAAACAAGCCTCTAGCATTGTCCAGCAACTTTTCCACCTCGCAGGCTGAAATGCATATCCCAAAGTCTGCAAATATTTTAGTACAGTGGCCGAACTGGAGAAGCTCAAGTGTAAAAAAATCAAGAATGTTCTTCTAAGGATACAGAATATCTCTGAATTGTTAGCAGTTATCTATAGCTAATAATCCTGGGCACTCTCTTACCCCAAGCCAGCTGCATCACAAATATGTGGGCTATTGGCTGCAAGGCCAGTGGTGTGAATGATTCAATGCAAACCCGTCAACACTACTGGGAAAACAATTCTTCGTAAAGACTTACTGGAGATGATTCAGTGCCATCATCAGCAGAAGCGAGCAGCTGTGTGAAACCACCGCTTCTCTGAGCTTTGGATGTGTTAACGATATATTCTCAGAAGTAAATAATCCTTTTGCTAACAAGATGAACCCTATTTACTCACTTTCATTCCCTTGAGGTTTGAATTCAGCCCAGTGACCATGTCATAAATATCGTTCTGACCTCCAAGGGGGCTGTTCCAGAATCTTAGTTCTTTTGCAAGTGTCCTTCTCAGAGGTTAAGCTGTCCACCCAGCCATGTTACCTTATATTCGTCATATTTTTTAAAGGAACTGAAGGGGTTAATTGGTTTCTTCAGTAAAGAGACTTTCGCCAAAGAAAGCAATTTTAGGTTAGTTTGTGTAGTAGCCAGGGAAATGTACTCAAAGGGGTGGACCGTGTTTCTGTTGTGCAGATAACCTACATACTGCTTTAGAAATGTGTGATTTCCAGCGTGTGCTAAAATAAGAAGTGGTTGTTTGATTTATCTCCCACAATGGTATGGCATTCTCTTCCTAAGTGGCATTTCATTCGCAAGCCAGGCACTGTAAATTTGAACTGAATATGTAAGTAAATATCCCTCAAGGAGATAGCACACTGGCTGGCCTCGTCTGAGAATACGGCTGCTAAAAATGAAGCTCTTGGCTTTTGGAAAAGGCTCAGCACCTGAAATACATTAGCATCCAAAAGAGGGCATGGTGTGCTCGCCAGCCAAACAAACTGAAAGTTAGTCTGAGCTATAATTGTGGAGCATCGCCTACAAACAAAGTGATATTTGGGTTGTATCTCCTACATTTGCCCTCAAGCACTCAAACTTACATTCAACCCATTGGAATTTTGCTTTGAACTTTCATGTTTGGGCACATCACCTCAGTGCATAGCAACTTGGTACGTGATAGCTTTTACTCTAGCATCTTTGCATGGCAGGGACAAAGACAGTGATGGTGTTTTATGAAGCCCTAACAGGATTGCTGCTGTGCATAATTGTTAAAGGGCTGTCGATCTACTGATGTGGAACAGGCAAGAAGCTTAAAGAATGGAGAAAACCCATAATCGCAGAGTAACTTGTATTCTGATTTATTATTTATCACATCATGGTTAAAACAATTTCCTAGTTTTGTGTATTTTTAATATTGACATTGAATTTTCACCTAATGCAAAGGCAGGTTTCAGAAACTTTTTAAACATTTATATATGCAGGTAGTTAAGGGGGAAAATCCCTTTTTTATTAAGATACAGAATGCATGTTTATCAAAATTCATCTCAGATTCCATTTAGAAATATAGATACCTTGGGTTTGAAAGAACTTACTGAGCTACACGGAATGACAGATATTACTGACAGAACAAAGTTATGAATGATAAAAGAACCCAGGAAATGCTTATACTCATGTGGCTATAAATTAAGTAGTAGAAGAAAGACTGCTATTTGTTGGCGGGCATAGAGCAAGCATTAAGTTAGTAAATGTGTAAGATAACACTCAGTGTACATCTTGGATTGCTTCATGGAGAAGTACTGAACCTCCTCTGTGACTCAGTCCCTCGTGGCTGATGGCCTGTGAGCCCGCCACTCCCACGGGGTTCTCACTGACATAATGCAGACATGGCACTCCAGGAGGCCTCAGGCAGTAGCACAGGAGTCCTGCACAGAGATCGTAGCTGAAAAAGTCATAGAATTCTAGAAAAATTGAGCATTGTAAATGTTGGTTTGTGCTTCAAAATGTGACATTTCGCTGCTATGAGCAACATCTGTTCAAAGCCACCTAATACTAAGACATGGCTGAGCAATATTACCTTTGTTTTAAGCACAATTAGCAGCTCTCTGGAATAACTGATGCAGTCCAGCCCCTCTGGAAATCCTACTGGCTGATGCCCACAGCACACTGAATGCTGGCGGGTGAGGCTGCCTTTGCATACCTGTATAACTCGTCTCTTACCACGATGGTTCTTAAACTTCAGGAGGCCTCAGAATCATCTGGAAGGCTTATTAAGACATTGTTGGACCCCACTTCTAGAGTTACTGATGCATTCAATCTATAAAAGGACACCCAAGAATTTGCATTTCTAACAAGCTTCCTCATGATGTGAGGCTGTGGTCCAGGAATGACCATTTGGGGACTGCTGTCCTCTTAAGTGAGTTATATGGTTACCAATAATCAATTTCATTGGTTTACAAACCACCTCAAAGCAAAGACCTGAGAGGGGAGGGGTGGTGAGGAAAGACCTGGACTTTACACCAAAAGATTAAATGAATGTACAGCCATACATTTCAAATCAAAATGTTTATGGCATATATGTATCTTTTCTTATGATTTCCCACCATAAGTCATTCTTTTGAATTAACCCAGTGAACTACTGGTCCCAAATACAGATTAGACCACCTGTATTGTAGGAGTAGCGTTTGTGTTTACAACACAGGTAGGTGTATTCAGTGGTGGAGACAGGGAAACTTTTCCGTGATTTTTTGAGAGATGAGCACTGGAGCATGTAAAAATACAAGGAATACATACCAAAAGCGTTTCCTGTGTGGATAGAGGCAGGGCTAAATGGCTGAGGAACGAAAAGCCGGAACATAAAGGAAATACAGCAGCAAGAATACACTGGCCAGGGTTCCCAGATGTGGCATAGCCTGTGTCTTACAGACCAGAAGCCAGAGACCCAGGAAGACTAGGGCCAGATACTGATCTAGGCACTGGAGAAAGCACCATGAACAAAACACCCAGGTTCCTTCTGTCTTAGAGGTTAAAGTCACTTCTTTCCTTCCCTTGTGAGAAAAGAGGAAATTTCAGTATTGGTATTGAATTCCTAAAATAGGAAGATGTTATGATTCCTTTTGTTAAAAAATAGGCAAACAGAAAACTATTTTCCTGATGTAAGTATGTATATTCAAGAAGGGGAGGGGCATGTGGTAGGTGGGAGGCAGTCTCGTAAACAGTATTTCGAGAGCAAACACAGTCTAATGAATGCCTTACATTTTTCTTAATGCTAACGGACTTTTCATTCCTAATATAATGGTTTGCGTGTGTGTGTGTCCCTCCAAAGAGATGGAGAAATACTGTGGTGTCGTTCACTTACCTTCATGGCACCCTTGTTTAGTAAATGGGGTCAGGCAATAGACTCTCCTTCCCCATTCCCACCCCATTCCAACTTGTTCTCATATGTAGGTGTGGAAAGAAGGATAGTAAGAGAAATCATCATCATTGTCATATAACAGCTGCTGTTTATTGAATCCTTATAATGTCAGACAGCACATTCATTGTCTCATTTCATCCTCACATCAGTCACAATGGTTCTTAATATTTCCATTTTTATAGATGACAAAACGGAGGCTTAGGTTAAATAACTTACTCAAGGTCACAAAGCTTATACAAGTTGAAACAGGATTTGAGCTCCATCTGATTCCACCATCAGAGCTCTCATCATTACCACAAATATCCTTGTATAGGAACTTTTGTTGTGTTCATGGAAAAACTAGGTCTCTGAAACCTTCATTTTGCAGAGAATGTTTTTCTGTGGTCTTGAGATAGAGTACGCCTGTCCTTGGTTGCTACAATAGATGACAGAGATGGAAGTGACTATTTTAGAACTGAATGTGCCATCCATTAGCCCATAGAAAGGAAACATTTTTGAATGTTTGTTTTTTCTAATTGTGGGTGTTAAGTAAAGTGATTGTACAAACAGTTCTCTCCTGCTTGGTAATCTGTTATAAATCAACCTTCAGATGTTAATAAAACAAATCAAGACTGACAAAGGAAGTTCCATTTGTATTTTAAACTCCCAATTCATCAGGGTCTCCTCCTTTAGATCTTCTGTGAGAGTGTCCTTGGTCTTAATGTAGCTGGAAGATAAAATGCAGATAAAAGAGTCATTGTCTCAGAAGAGCATTAATAAAAAATGAATGTTGATCCTAATTGAGTAGTATTTAAACATACGGGGTGGAGGCAGCAGTCTGCAGGGAGCATCTGAATCTGTTAGAATTTGACTCTCGATCTCATCTTCCTCCTCTTATTACAGGGACCTCACCACCCAGCTGCCTTCTGTGAATGTAAACTGTCACAATGGAATCAGGAAAGATATATATAGACATAGTACTATAGCAGATTCTCAGCTCTTTTGCTATCGTTGTTCTTATTTTGAAACAACGTACTACTATTCCTCTATCTTTTCCTAAAAATCTGTTCATAGAATGTTCAATTAACTCATTTTCTGTTCTTCCCTTTTCATTGTTTGCTGTTTCTGTTTACAGTGGTTCCTGATAACTTAGTTTTAAGTTCTCCTTAATTCTGTTATGCTGGATATAATATCAGAAAGAACTCGCGATGGTCAGAGGTGAAATAATTTGAACAAAAGTATTAATAATGATAGTATTAGATTATAAACCAGAGAACAAAATAAATATCCATGAGTCCATACTGATATAATTAAATTACTGAATAAATAAATGGGAGGAAAGAAAAATGTCTTCCTTACAGAAGAATTGCAATTTAAGGAGTGAAAGAAATAAAAATATTACCACTTGAACACTGAAGTAATTTCTACAGACAAGATCCACTAGTGGATGCTAAAATTAACAAGTGAAAGTTTAAGGAGAAACATGATAGTTTCACAGCCTCCAAGTATTTTCCTCCAAATATTTATTAATTCCTCTGGTGGTTTTAACATACACATATATCTACAAATTCTTTAATACTGCTCCCTCTTAGGAGATGGGGCTAAATTCCCCTCCTTGTGAGGATGGGCTGGACGTCAGTGACTCCAGTTCCAATGAACTGACTCTGGAAAGGTAAAAGTCTTAATTTTTCAGTGGAAAAACCTGGCATATATCACCTTAACTGATGGATCAAGGTTAATGTCACCAATAGTAAGACTTTGATGTCATGTACTTCATGATACAATGCAAGGAAGGGGCATGTCACCTCTGTGGCATTCTTCCCCAAATTCATAACCTCAGTCTAATCATGTGAAAGCATGAAACAAACCCAGATTGAGGGACAGTCTACAGAATAGCTGACCAGTACTCTTCAAACTGTCAGAATCATGCAATATTGTACCAACGTTCATCTCTTAGTTTTCATAACGGTACCACAGCTAAATAAGATGTTAACATTAGGAGAAGGTGGATGAAGAAGGCTTTATGATAACTTTCTGCTTTATTTTTGCAACTTTTCTGTAAGTCTTTAAGTATTTCAAAATAAAATGTTTAAAAAAAAAAAAAAAGACCCATCAAGGGCATAGAAAAGCTTAGGTGAAGAAACCCTAAAATGAATCCTCATTTATCGACTCATTCATTTATTGATTCGTTTGTTCATGCACTCATTCATTTGTTCACTCAAGAAGTATTTGTTGCCAGACACAGTACCAGCAAAGAAAATAGCAGCCACTATAGCTTTGCAGAGCTTGGTACGCAATGCCTGGTTCAGAGGAGATATTTGTTCATCACTTGCTTTTACTGTATCACAGCCTGGGGTGGCATGTAGAGGTTTGAACAAGTGCTGAAGCAGGGCAAGTGAGGTGCTTATGGAAGCACACAGGAGAGGCACTTAACCTAGTTGTGGGAGACCACAAAAGGCTCCCTGATCAGCCTTTGTAATATGAGTAAGCCTATTGTTTAGTCTTTCATTTAAAGTGTGTTCAGTGTTTTCTATGGGACGAACATACTTGTGACTTAAATTTTGAAGTTGATTTCATCCTTGTAGATTCTAAATGCCTTAAAAGTGAGTGCTTTAAAAGTAAGAATAGCGTAAGTTGTTTATATATATCCATCAAATCCTAGTTGGTAACACAGAGTTTTTGTAAGGAGTAAAGGGGTCTCAAATCCCTTTGGGTTGGAATCATTTGTTACTTTGAGTTTTCCTTAGCAGCAAAAAAAAGAAAAAGAAAGAAAAGTAAAAGAAAAAAAAGTGTGACACAAAATGTATACATGCTGCAAATATCTTCGGTGGCTCACGCCTGTAATCCCAGCAATTTGGGAGGCCGAGGTGGGCAGATCACAAGGTCAGGAGATTGAGACCATCCTGGCTAACATGGTGAAACCCCATCTCTACTAAAACTACAAAAAATTAGCCAGGCGTGGTGGCACGTGTCTGTAATCCCAGCTACTCAAGAGGCTGAGGTAGGAGAATTGCTTGAACCTGGGAAGCGGAGGTTGCAGTGAGCTGAGATCGCACCACTGAACTCCAGCCTGGGAGACAGAGCGAGACTCCGTCTCAAAAAAATAAAAATAAAAATATTTATTGGAGTGCATGAAATTGTGGATGTTAAAAAGATGTTTTCTAAATAGGCTGTAACCAGAAGAAATATTTTTACAACAGTATTTTCAATGGAACATTTTCAGAAAAAGAAACTTAGAAACAATGTAAATATATAACAAAAAGACACTGAAATCGTATTCCTATATGACGGACACATAAGACAGTGATTAAAATTATAGAATTTATGTAGATGTACACATCACACACATACACCCCCTCAACATATGAAAATGAAAAAGGAATACACTAAAATATTAATAATACGTATCTCAGAGTTATGGGATTGTGGGATTTTGTTTATACTGCTTTGTTTTACTTTTTCTACCATGAGTATATAATTTTTATAATTAGAATGAAATTGTCTTGTGTTACTTTTTGAGAGAGGCATTAATTCTAAAAAGTAGTGGTGCAGAGGTCCTGGGACTCTTAATGTATGGGTTCAGTAACAGATGTTCTAATTGAAATGAGAATCAGAGCTCAGGAAATCTAGTCTAAGTCCTCCTGTGTAGCTAAATAATAATTTCATATTAGTATTATTTTTGTGTACCATTTCTCAATATGTTTTTAAATAACTTTTTGATGGTTTTATATAGGAAGAAATACTGTGCCCATCAATAGGTGTACCCTCATGAAATTTAGCCTACCTCATGGTTTCTCTCTTACAGCTTGTAAGTCTCAGGCATTGAGAAGCGCTTGGCCTATGTAGCAAGTGGGTAGACTACGTTGCAAATTCCCACAAGGTACCTACCAATGGTCTCATTAAAAGCACTTGGAGGTAGGCCAGGCATGGTGGCTCAGGCCTGTAATCCCAGCACTTTGGGAGGCCGAGGCGGGCAGATCACAAGGTCAAAAGATCAAGACCATCCTGGCTAACACAATGAAACCCCATCTCTACTAAAAGAACACAAAAAATTAGCTGGGGGTGGTGGCGGGCACCTGTAGTCCCAGCTACTCAGGAGGCTGAGGCAGGAGAATGGCGTGAACCCGGGAGGCAGAGGTTGCAGTGAGCTGAGATCATGCCACTGTACTCCAGCCTGGGCAACAGAGCAAGACTCCATCTCAAAAAAATAAATAATATAAAATAAAAAAACACTTGGAAATCTTTTTCTAAAAATCTATTATGATTCAGTCAACAAGCACAGCCCCTCATCAATCAGTGTCAGTCATTCTCATGTAGCCATTTGACCTAATGTCTTGTCAGCAACTATACCCCCTCATTATTCTGAAAACTGACCAGGCCTCGGCCATTCAGGCCATCAGGCACAAAGATAGAGGCTCACTGGCCACATATTACCTGATACAGTATGATACAACCATTGAGAGTTCTTTCTGTTACATCCAGCCTACAACCAATATGTATGATGCAACGTATTACCTGATACAAACCAGGGAAGGGAACCATTTTTAGAGTGTTGAGCTCTACTTGTCTTATTCTCTGCACATTGGATCATTAGAGACTGTCCTGAGACTAATCCAGAGAGGTCAATCTAAGCACATTAAAACAGAAGGGTGGCCAGGCATGGTGGTTCACGCCTGTAATCCCAACACTTTGGGAAGCCAAGCTGGGAGGATCTCTGGAGCCCAGGAGTTTGAGACCAGCCTGGGCAACATAGAGAGACCCCGTCTCTAAACAAAATTAAAAGAAAAAATAATTAGGCATAGTGGCATGTGCCTATAGTCCCAGCTACTCAGGAGGCTGAGGCAGGAGGATTGCTTGAGCCCAGAGAGTTCAAGTCTCCAGTGAGCTATGATAGCAGATCTGCACTTCAACTGGGGTGACACAGTGAGACGCTGTCAAAAAAACAAAAAACACAAACAGAGTTAAGAGCCATCATCTCAGAGATGGAGACAGGACTGAGCAAAGAAGAGGCTAGGACTAAAGTGAAATGAGGCGGGAAGGGCATACAGCCAGGAGTGACAGAGGAAGGAAACGATGCTGAAGAGTTCAGGATGAGATCTTTAGATGGCAGGATGTCTGCCTGGACAGTGTTTGGAGGAATACTCCTTCTTTAGCTTCTCTTGGGCTATACTGAACCTTAAGGAGGTAGACTCCTCATAGATTACAGGTGAAGTCCCTAGCTCTGCTTTGATCTATAGATAAAGCAACTCTTTCCTTTAAAAAAAACAAAAAGTTGGCTGGACATGGTGGCTCACGCGTGTAATCCCAGCACTTCAGGAGGCCGAGGCAGGTGGATCACTTGAGCTCAGGAGTTTGGATTGCTTAAACCCGGGAGGCAAAGGTTGCAGTGAGCCAAGATGGCACCACTGCACTCCAGCCTGGGCAGTCGAGCAAGACTCCGTCTCAAAAAAAAAAAAAAAAAAAAAAAAAAGGTTAAGACTGGGTGCGGTGGCTCACGCCTGCAATTCCAGCACTTTGGGAGGCTGAGGTGGGCAGATCTCTTGAGGCCAGGAGTTTGAGACCAGCCTGGCCAACAATGTGAAATTCTGTCTCCACTAAAACTACAAAAATTAGCTGGGCATGGTGGCACGCTCATATAGTCCCAGCTACTTGGGAGGCTGAGGTAGGAGAATCGCTTTGAGCCTCGGGGGCAGAGGTTGCAGTGAACCGTGATCACGCCACTGTACTCCAGCCATGGTGACAGATGAAGACTCCATCTAAAAAAAAAAAAAAAAAGTTGGAAAGTTAACATTTTTCTTTTTTTTTTTTCATGTTCTTTAAAAAAAATTAAAAGCTTTCTAGGGCACCTATGACTACCATTTGTTTTTCTTTATGCTTTGAGCTATAATCATCTAAAAAATAAAAATAAAAATGACTGTGCTTCTTATCTTCATTTTCCT